CTATCCATTTAAGTGGACGTATGGAGTTATAATTCCTTTATATTAGTTAATGTATAAGAGAGGCAAAATTGCCTGCCCTGGGAATTATAGAGCAATAACACTGCTTGAAGTAACTGGTAAAATATTTTTTAAAAACATATCAACAATAGGTTAAACTCTCTTTCTTCGTTGATGAGCAAGCTGGATTTAGGCATGGTTTCCAGACCCATGATACTATTTTCATTCTTAATGCTTTAATGGTAATCTCTTTCTCTTTACAAAGGTCGTCTCTCTTGTGCATGACCGCCTCCGTGGTGTAGTGGTTAGAGCGTCCGCCCGGAGAGCGGAAGGTCGCGGGTTCGATCCCCGACCGCGTCATACCTAAAGACGTTAAAATATGTTACTTGTTGGTACCATTGGCGTTAATGGGTACAACAAGGACTGGTCGGCTCGGAGTCAGTATAATGTGTCTGAGTGGGGTATTCATGCTTCACTGCGGCATGGTATCTCAGTGGGCTAGCACTATAAAACCAGCTTCAGTCTTGGCTAGTACAAGCAGTCACACATACACATACACACGCATGCACGTCGTCATATGAGCGAAATATTCTCAAGTACGACGTTAAACCCAATTTCACCTCACCCACCTCACCTCTTGTGCATGATGTACAAACCCGTGAAGGTCCGGGTTAGAATATTGGCCTTCAGTAACCCATGCTTGTCGTATGAGGTGACTAACGTGATCGGGTGGTCAGACTCGTTGACTTGGTTAACACATGTCATCGATTCCCAATTGCGCAGATCGATGCTCATGCTGTTGATCACTGGATTGTCTGGTCCAGACTCGATTATTTACAGACCGCCGCCATATAGCTGGAATATTGCTAAGTGCGGCGTAAAACTAAACTCACTCACTCACTCAATTACCTGATGTACGATGGACCTGTGGCCCTTTACTAAATATGGCTCTCTCTCAAGCGATTGTCTGGTCCACAATCAATTAATTACAGGCCTCCGCTCTATAGCAGCGTAAAACAACAAACCTAACAAAACAGAGAGGATTTGTTTGTATTTATGAAGCCTTGATGTTTAAGACTGACTGACTGACTGAGTTTGGTTTTACGCCGCTTTTAGCAATATTCCAGCAACATCACGGCGGCGGACACCTGAAATGGGCTTCACACATTCTACCCATGTGGGGATTCGAACCCGGGTCTTCGGCGTGACGGGCCAACGCTTTAACAATTAGGCTACCCCACCGCCCCTGATGTTTAAGAGAATAATATTGATGCAATGTATAAAATTACACCTTAAAACCTCTTGACTATTTCAACCTTTGTTGTGTAAACATAAGCCTATGATCATTTATCTGTACATGTATGTAATATTCCTACATTCAGGTACATCCTTTGCTTGATAACAGTACTATTACCTAAACCAGAACGACACACATATTGTTACAGATATATCCATAGAATCACCCCACTGTTCATTAGAGCAACTTCTAAATGACATATAAAGAAACGGTACGTATGTACTCAGCTGTAAGGGGCGAAGGGGTAGCCTAATGGTTAAAGCGTTCGCTCGTCACGCTGATGACCCGTGTTCGATTACCCAAATAGGTATATTTCTGGTGTCCTCCGTGATATTGCTGGAATATTGCTAAAGCGGCGTAAAACTATACTCATTCACTACTCAGCTATAACTGCTTTAAATGTGGACCAATCTCTATACAGAAGGTGTAACAAGTAAACCTATAAAAATTAGATGTCCAGCACATATTAGTGTTGGGAATTGGTTAAAATCTCACAATTGATGATTGGTTTATTACAACCGATCAATCATCGAAAAAAATTGGTTAGCGTCATTAATGAAATTTGTTAATGCACATAAAAATAAGGAAAAAACATGTAGTTCTTTTGGGGTGTTTTTGGCAAAATTTCATATCTTTAAAGGATGACTAGTATGTCAGGAACATAATTTCTTGGAGTCTTTAAGATAAATTCAATCATGACTTGAAACGAGCTTGTAGTGCTTATGAAATGTAACAGACAAAACCAACCTTGTGAAAAATATTGTTTATGAAAACAAGTGTTCGATTATGAGAAAACATGATCGATTGCTTGGTCGTTTAGTCACTGCGACCAATCTTCGATTATTTCAATTAATCGGACCACCACTAGCACATATATACACATAACCATTAGATATGGCCATGAGGACATCTGGTGACGGTGGGACTGTACAGACGACTGTACACCGATGTTATCTTGCGTCTGGCACCATTTTTGGTGAGCCCTATGTTGATATACAGTAACCAAAGAAAGGAAACGGATACAGCTGTCCCTTCGAGTTGTGCTTGCTATGCTGAAAGACATCAGATACTTTGCTTCGACAAGCGAAGTAAGGTTACTCCAACACGTTCAGACCTTGGAGACTGTCGCTTAGAACATCGATCTTGAGACCAGATCAAAGAAACAGCAAGCTAAACTTACTGACTTTTTCACCTCATGAATTATAACGTAAATGGAAGCAGTACTGTACACTTACATTTGTGTTGTATTTTTCTGATGTTATCTTTATTGATGAATAAAGAAAATGATGACTAGCAACATGTTGTTCAGTCGTATTTGACAGCATACGGAAGATCATTCTCAGGTTGAAAAGGGAAAAGTTCTCTAAACCGACACGCCCTCTATACCGGCATTTTTTTGCCGGTCCCAACGAAGGCCGGTTTAGGCTTCTACTGTATATATCATCTATACATTTTTTTTCTTTCAAATCATTTTCCCAGGTTTTTTTTTAATATATCGTGTATAAAACCTGTTTTGATTAAGGCTGGTGTTAGAAAAAACTGAATATGTGGTGGAGTGAGTGAGTGAGTTTAGTTTTACACCGCTTTTAGCAATATTCCAGCAATATCACGGCGGGGCACACCGGAAAGAGAAAAACAAAAAAACAAACAAAAACACACACACAATCATAAATGATTTTTCCATGACTTTTTCACGAACAGCTGGTGTCATCACTGATTATCAGTGATAACTATTCATACTTTCAGAGTTATTTTTTCCTAAACACCAAACGGAATTTGTTTTTGAAAAACAATCAAGACAAGCTTGCAATTTGTGTGCGCAATAGGCTGAACGTATGATGCCTTGGTCTCTGTCTGTCATTTTGCAGTACTCCACGACTGGAGACGGTAATCCCTCATCCAATGCATCATTAGTCAGTCTTGGTTATTCTTCTGTTGAACGCATATACATACACCATTCATCAAACCGCGTGATAAATCTCTATGACTGTCAAAACAATGTCCTGGAATCAAATACATCACGGATCCCATCAGAAGCGCGTCCTGTCATTACCACAATCATTATGATAGATTTGAAAAATACCTGTAGAACGAAGTGGTGTCAACATGATTAATATGTATTCTTGGTACAATATTACAGTGTTAAAATGACCTTAATGTAAACGGAAAAATGATAATGAGTCAACACAAAGTACTCCTGCTATCTCGAAGTAATAGGCGAGGGAATCAATATTATGATACTGAGAAAATGATGGCATACCTTATTTTGTTGAAATGCTAAGTAGGTAACATTATTTGAAAACGCTTTAACCACAAGGCTACCCCACCGGCCCTAAATGGGCTGTTGGGGCTACACAACTCCAACATAACAATGCTATATATATATTATTTATATATATCGTTCCCATGCAACTGTCTTAAAGAAAAAAACTATAAAGTTCTGAATAGCGACATTTCGACATAACCATATCTATGATGGGCACTAAAAAGATACTCACAATATCGAAGGAAATGAGGTGTAATCATAATGTTTTCTAAATGAAAAAGATGTATATCATATACTACAAACAAAAAGTATGGGAGCACCCTAAAATTTGATAGTCATATATAAACTTAAACGTGGTAAGGTCATTTATACTCTATGGTAAATGCAACTTTTTGTGTGCTTAATGGGCACTTTAAACGACATGTTGAAACATGCAGTGAAGCAACTGATTCAATATTCGTAAAGTTTGAGTGAAATTAAACTTTGTCAAAAACAGCGAAAAACAAGGGTGCTGAAACAAACCACTACCATGCTTGATTCAAACGCCCAAACACAACAGCCTAGTGCATGTGGACTTCCCATGCAGCTTGTGGCAACTGGGCACTGGCAGTTGTGAATCTTGTGGCTTGGTGCACAACATATCGGTCATCTGCCCTTGATGTTTTTCTTGGTCTTCCAGAGCGAGGTTTGTCCTGTACTCTACCAGTGGCCTGGAACCTGTCCCTCAGTCTGTGAATGACAGAGGGAGACACCTGAAGACGGCGAGTAACACTTCTTATGGATTCACCATCCTGTACCCATGCAATGGCCCTGCTTCTGTCGTGGGCGCTTAACGGTCTGTGCTGTGACATGGTGAAGAAGTTGTGAGGCTTCAATACTGTCTGTAGCTTTTTTAAAGGAAACGTTGCCACAAGCTGCAAGGGAAGTCTGTCTTCCACATGCACTAGGCTGTTGTGTTGCGGCGTTTATATTATATAAGTAAAAGCACAATGTCTATATATTCTTTTCGAAAAGATATCATCATTAGACAAGACATGACACGTCGTGATATATGGATGTTATTTTTACACACCTATAGTCGTGTATAGCCACAAATGATCGTATTATGAGAGTTAATGTGTCTGTCGCCTTCTATCAAAGTAAGGCAACGGTCACGTCAATGACATTACTGCAACAATATCGCTTCTGTATTTGCATAAAAAGCCTCGAAAAAAACCCCTCGAATAATTAAACTTGAAACGTTTATCAGACAGAGGAGACGAGATCTTTTTAATTGAAAAGGAAAGAAATCAGACTGCGGAACCATGGTCCTGTTTGAACGAACTTGGTCTCACAACCTCTAGTGCAACCCTTCACTGTCTGCATAAATCGTGGTGCTGCTCACGTAATTACAGAACCAACGTGGCAACTTTAGCTGAGGCGTGTAGACCCTCCAAGTATTCACGTGTCCACAACAACTTGTTTTTGCTCTGGACTGTACTGGGGATGTTTCAGGTGTAGTGTAAACACGAGCGTCAGATATATACGTAGTGGACAGCATGAAGGACGTGCTCATCTTCACTGCCATTCTAGCAATGGCACTGGGTATGTTTTAACGTTTCCATATTTTTTCTTACGTCTCAAAGCAATTAAAATTATGTTTAAGGTTTTCCATCAATATTATATCTGCACATTTATATTTTATTTGACAGCGTCATATTTTGTCAATTTTCATCTTCTTACATGTAAGGTAAATACATGCATACCAAAGGGCATTAACACTGTACAATCCTGTAAGTGTCATATGAAAGGCAAAACACGAATGATTGCTATAATTGGGTATAGTTTTTATTCTTGTGCAGTGTTTATGTGACACATGATTAATTTCTTTTGCCATGAAAGTGAATATATGTAAAACATGCAAAGTGACTTGTGTGCACATATAATGTTTATGTGACAAATGATTAATACCTTTTGCCATGAAATTGAAGATATGTAAAAAATGCACGGTGAATAGTGTGCTCATATAATTGATGAGGTCGATTCATAAAAAGATGTTGTATTTCAGTGAAATACTCCAACGTCGTGATACTTCGCATAATCTTTAATATGAAAGTAGACTTTATTATAATGAAAATTCTAAGTTAGCTTCGATAGTTTGACCGAGTGGTATCTGTAAATATATTGCCCCTGTGTTTCTGTAGCAAAGCTGACATATCTTCTTCCGTGCTGTGTTAAAGGTCATCTTTAAACATGATCGACCACCATTAGCGTTTTAGTACATTTAACTGACATTTTCGTAAATTATGCAAGCATAAAACATGAACACAAGTGAAAACCATTATTCGCTGAAACAGAATCCATAGAGCGTTAAAAGGCAAAAGGGCAGTGATAATTGTTTGATTGGTTCGCTGATTATTAGTGATGAAACAAGCTGTTGGCAAGAAAAACGGTTAATGTGTCCTGTTCGAACGGTAAAAACCCTTCATGCCTGCATTATTAACCTATGTTTCCAACTGTGGCAAAAAGGATTAATACATGCTGATCTACCTGTAAATAACATATTCATGTCCGCCTAATTAATGTGTGTTTCCAATTATGGTAAAAAAGGATTAATATATCCTGATCTACCGGTAAATAACATATTCATGTCCGCCTTATTTACCTGTGTTTCCAACTGTGGTAAAAGGGATTAATCATGCTGATCTACCTGTAAATAACATATTCATGTCCGCCTAATTTATGTGTGTTTCCAATTATGGTAAAAAAGGATTAATATATCCTGATCTACCGGTAAATAACGCATTCATGTCCGCCTTATTACCTGTGTTTCCAACTGTGGTAAATAATGAATCAGATTAATATATCCTGATCTACCGGTAAATAACATATTCATGTCCGCCTTAGTGTGGAAGTCTTTGGTGTGCAAGTCAAGATACATAAAACAAACGGGTTGATATTTTGCATTGGTATAACCAGATACAGCATTAGATATTACTGTGATAAAAGGTTTCAATATTTAAGTCAACAATCCGTTGCGTTGGCATTTCTAATGTTTCCTTAAAATGCTGAGCTGTTTTGTTTGGCAGAAGTACAAGGCCGTGTATACTACTGTCCCTATCTACATACCTGCAAGCCTGACATCCACAGCAGACACGAGTGTTGGAGAAATGACAGCTGCAAGCCAGGTAGGAATATCCCTGTTAGGGACCAGATATGTGGTATTTTGGAGGGGGATTGAGTGAGTGAGTGAGTTTGGTTTAACGCCGCTTTTAGCAATATACCAGCAATATCATTGCGGGGAAATTGAAATTTTCACACATTGTACCCATGTGGGGAATCCGCTTCGGCGTGCAAAACCAGACTTCTTTTTGTGGAAGGAAGTCCGGGCCTAAATGTTCTATTTTCATCAGCTTACAACAGGTTCTTTTCGTGTCAGAAAAGATGTTAAAACTGACAAAATCTATCCATCCATTCATCCATCCACCCATCCGACCGTCAGTCCACCCACCATCCATCCATCCATCCATTTATCCGCCCATCTACTCACCATCCATCCATCCACCATCCGTCCATCCATCCGTCCGACCGTCAATCCACTCATCCATCATTTTCATCCACCCATCTGACCGTCAACCATCATCCGTCCGACCGTCCGTCCACTCCATCCATCCATTCCATTCCATCCTTCCATCCATCCATCCATCCATCCATCCACCCACCCACCAATGACTGATTTTGCCGACAGCTTAGACCCAGACAGATGGTGGCTGTTAGTGTTATAAAACAACGTTTATTCAGTGAAATGTCAATGTGCTTATACTCTTAACAGTCTCGTGGTTTCAAACAAAAACTGTCCTGATGATTTGGAATTGTCTCATAAAACATCTCATGCACTCGAATGTAAAGAAACAACTGGGATAGTAACTATTTGATGGTGACAGTCAGAATCGTGCAATCAAAAGAGATGTTTCTGTGGCCAAGGAAAGGGTTTTGTCTTTTTTAATAATACACGAAGTCATATATCAACCTAATAACACAGACCGCCTCCGTGGTGTAGTGGTTAGAGCGTCCGCCCGGAGAGCGGAAGGTCGCGGGTTCGATCCCCGACCGCGTCATACCAAAAGACGTTAAAATAGGGTACTTGTTGGTCCCTGCCTGGCGCTCGGCATTAATGGGTACAACAAGGACTGGTCGGCTCGGAGTCAGTATAATGTGTCTGAGTGGGGTATTCATGCTTCACTGCGGCATGGTATCTCAGTGGGCTAGCACTATAAAACCAGCTTCAGTCTGGGCTAGTACGAGCAGCCGCACATACACATACACACGCATGCACGTCGTCATATGAGCGAAATATTCTCAAGCACGACGTAAAACCCAATTTCACCTCACCTCACCTCACCTCACCTAATAACAGGTTACACAGTCCTTTAAATGGGCCATCGAGATATTCCCAGTTTAACATCCACTCATTTCTAAGACAGAGCTCAGATTATTATTACAACTGAATAAATGCATCTGTCCAGTGACCAGACGACCACCAAACTCTATTTCAGTTCACTTCTACTTTGAAGTTATGAAGGCCCGGTAATGATATGCAATGGACTCGTATACTACATTGTACGATTTCATATTCACTTAGTTACCAAACCTATTGTGTGTCCGTCTATTATATACACTTGTAAATAGTGGACGCAGATATCTGTATCGCATAAACCCCTTGAGGACTATGGTCAGCTTAGTCACATTGGGACTCAGGCTTTCTAAGTGTCTGAAGATCAATTCTGACCCAGATCTTCAATTGATCTTCGGCAACCCATGTTTGTCGTAAGAGTCGAGTTTTACGACATGGCTACCGAGATCTTTGGCCAACATGCTAAACAAAGCAAATGCAGTGTCACGACACATTTTATAACTTCTTTACAACAGTAACAAAACCGTGACCAGTTTCTGCAAGCTTTCTGCGTTGTCACTGGGTTCATTACTTGAAACAGATCCTCTTAAGACGAGTGATGTCCTGATAACCATATGTGTATTTTTGGCTTGGTAAGATAATCATTTCACTAGGTCACAGGAACAAATAGACACAGAAGTGTCTTTACCAGGAAGTACTAGAAGCATAATCAATGTAACAGCCTGAGGGGACCATATACATTAACCCCAAACGTATGTTTGTTTTGATTAAGTGTTGCGACCAATGTGATTGATGAGCGGGTGTTCGTCTTTGATTCGTGTCCTTGTATTTTCTGACAGATCTGTAAATCTAGTTATATTTTGACAGTTCAGGCTTGTCTGACAAAACAACGTGGTAGGATATGCGTCATTTTGATTTGTATGATCTTTGTTTTTGAATGAGTTTCTGTGTTCCAGGATTCTACTGCTGTCTGTCATCTACATGCACTACAAAGTGCCTCAGACGTGTGTCGTCATCTACAGGACAACTTCAAAGTGAGTGAATCATTCTCGATAGGACATTTTTACCAAAGGGAGGTTATAATGAGCACTGAAGCATGAGATGGCACAACGTTTACCATGGAAAAGGGTTTTGTCGCTTTTCTCCTTCCAGCTCTTATTCAGCTTCTGATGGGGCGTTCACAACATCATAGCGGTTGATATGAGTGAAGCGCAGGCTATCTTTTTCTGCTTCTTAACGCCACGTTACGCACTAAAATTACTTGCAAGTGTAACATTTCGGAAGCCATTGCATATCTGCCATCCTGAATCTTGTAAGTTTGATCTGTTTCATGTAAGAGTTGGTGAATGTCAAAAGCAATTAATATTTTCAGAAATGCACAAATGTTCATCGCTTGATGTCTATTCCAGTATCAAAAGTGTATTTTGCATTGAACCATATTTAACTTTATTGAAATCTAAAGATGCGAGGCGTCGAATAACAATATTACAAATCGGTGCACTTCCAATATATAAAATACTGGTACATTTGGTGGAAGACCGAGGTACCAAAGACTTTATAATATTTGTATTGATAATTTTGTAGAAAAGGAATTTCATTTCCTATTTGAAAGTAAAGTTTATCATGATTTGCACTGTAAATATTTTAAAGCATTACCAAATTACATAGATCAACAATACTTTCTGAACACATTATCCTGTACCAAGTTTTCAACACTAACATATTGTTCTTCTTACATTAAGGAAGCATTGTCATTGCGTTCTTTATACATATGAATCTGATTGTCAAATGCCACTATCTTATAATTACACATGCTTATTTGTACATGTATTGTACGTGGGCCTAAGGCCTTGTTACGAAATAAACTTGAATACTAATACTAAATGAATACTAGCGGTTGATATGAGTGAAGCGCAGGCTATCTTCTTACGTTACACACGCCACGTTACACACTAAAATTACTTGCAAGTGTAACATTTCGGAAGCCATTACCATTGCATATCTGCCATCCTGAATCTTGTCAATCACTTTGCTGTGAAAAGGTCTAGAAAATTCAATGAACAAACAATTTGATTACTTTAACCAAAAAGGACAAGTTCAGGTATGTTGACGTGGTTGTGCCTTAGGCTTTACAGAGAATTTCATACTAATCATACTTGACATATTGTGGGTCTTATGCATGAAAGAGTGATCACTTACTCTCCGAATCAAAACCTCAAGCATGGCTCAGACGGTAATAAAAGTACCTTAACACGCCATCATTTCGTTTAAGATACTGTGTTCGTGCCAACATCTGAATATATAGAATTTTGAAGGTAACAGTGAGTGAGTGAGTTTAGCGTCACCTCGGCAATATTTTCGCCACATAGTGACGAGAAAGGTTTTGGATACACAATTAATATAAGTTGTTAAATAATCAGTCATCGAAGGACTGTAAAATAACTCAAGTATCACAGATGGTGTCTAAAACTAGCATGGAAATCTAAAACTATTTTATTTACGAAGACAATACAATGTATAAACAGGCGAAGATCGCCAACAACTGAAGGTAGATCACCATACTAGGGACCATGGGGACTTACGGTGCTTTTGCTACCTGGATGGACCCTGGCTCGATTTACACCATCCCTTCAGTCGCTGGCGATTGTAGGACATGCTTAGCCGACAGTTTAAAATAATAAAAATACTATGTTTAAAAATCTGGTAAGTTTAAATTTAACTTTGAAAGTTTTGGGACTTACGTATTTTGAAGGTAACAAGTAATATTTTAAAATAAACAGGATCCCTAGAGAGAGGGGATTTGCTGAACCGGATGAAATCTAGATTTGCTTCATTTAGCATTGCGAAAAAGGGTCGCGGAAAAGAAAATAATAGGGGGGCCAGGGATTGTTAGACAGACTATCTGACAAGTTGTTAGACACATCTACATTACATATTTACACTTGACACACTTTGTGGGTTTAGAAGTTTAGTGACTGGACCTTAGATGCAAAATGAAAGCCTTTTGTTTCACTTTTTAGTTTGGCAAGTGAGTTCGTTTAAACAGCAGAACATAGGTACCCCGTGGGATAAGCAATGTGACTATAACCTTCTAGCGCCTCACAGGCAGCTTGGGTTATCCGGGATAATAATGAAGTGTCTGCGCTATGAGCATGCTGTACATGTCGGTGTGGCTTTAGAGCAATACAAATGGACTGATTATTATCATTATTATTATCCAAGCTTTGGGACATAACACACAACACATACACCGATGAAGTGGTCGTTCAGAGAGGTTTTCCTTAAAATTATGAACCCGTACCAACTTGATATGACACTTCACTTCGTTCCCACACATTTCTGTAACCCCTTTGCAGAACACCATCAACAAAGTTAACCTTGTAACTGAGAATGTCTCCCAACATCGTTGGTTTCTTTAAGAATCCTGTGAAATGCCTTCGGTTGTTTTCATTATGACATTTACCTACTCCAAAAAGAGGACCATAAACGTGAAGTAAATTGTTTGTCAGTTGAACAAGTCTCGTTTGTCAGGCAAAGGACATTCCATAATATTTTTCTGTTATTGTCACTAATATTCTTCTACCCAACTATGTACTTGGATTTCTTATCACCAAGTAAATATGATACAGATCCAAGGCACCAAAATTATATGTGCATAGCTGCTACGTTTGAATGGGTAGAATACCCTGTGTCTGATGTCATAGTAATTGTAGGGGTTTTGTTATCATAGGATAACAGCTGTGCTGTGATTTTAACAACCTCATACTTTTTTTGTGTAAAGAATGTTACTGGCTGGTAGGTCAGGACATGCTTGCCCTTATATATTTAGCTTCATCACTGATTTTCATTGATCATTTATGTAATTTGTACTGCCCAGGTGCCCAAAACGTTTATTCTCTATAGATGGATTTTTCCAGATGAACGATGAAGTAACGTGTACAATATATAGTTTCCTTGTAGCAATCCTGCCAAGGAGTTCGAGAGTACGAGGATGGACTTTTCGCTTCTTTTCGCAATGTTTATTTTTCTTTAACTGAAAAGGTGTTCACATTCTGCAATCATGGGGGAAATATAACTGGGAGTTTCGTCACATGTTAGAGTGTAACATTGTGTCGTGTTTGTTTCAGAGCAATGTCCCAAACCACGGCGGATGAAAGTCTGCCCAATTAATGACAGCTATCAGCAGGAAAGTTGCAGGTCAGACAAAGACTGCCAGTCCCGTTATGGCGGAGGCATATGCTGCCCCGATGTGTGTGGAAGCTACTGTCACCTTAATTATGGGAACGTGTAGAAAGATAAAAGAACAAACTGAATTCCTGCACTTGAGTTGTCTTGTGTTTCAGGACCAGATTGGCGGGTTCGAGTCCCGTATGTATGTATGTATGTATGTATGTATGTATGTATGTATGTATGTATGTATGTATGTATGTATGTATGTATGTATGTATGTATGTATGTATGTATGTATGTATGTATGTATGTATGTATGTATGTATGTATGTATGTATGTATGTATGTATGTGTGTGTGTGTGTGTGTGTGTGTGTGTGTGTATGTATGTATGTGTGTATGTATGTATGTATGTATGTATGTATGTATGTATGTATGTATGTATGTATGTATGTATGTATGTATGTATGTATGTATGTATGTGTGTATATGTGTGTGTGTGTGTGTGTGTGTGTGTGTGTGTGTGTGTGTGTGTGGATGGATGGATGGATGGATGGATGGATGGATGGATGGATGGATGGATGCAAGCATGCATTTATGTATAACACTATTGCTTCATGGATGTACTACCGCCAAATAAAAGTCAGACATGGTTTTACGGCGCTTATATCAACATCACATATATGGCGCTGGGCAGTGGCATCAAGACTCGAGGAATCGAACTGAGCCAACATGAAGATATCTTAATCTCGGAAGTCACGTAACAATTTTACTGAATGCAGCACAACATTGTATATCACGAAGATAAGCATCTATGCTTAATATAGTTAATTTGTATTACATATCCCGTATATGTTTGTTTGGTGTATAACTACAAACTCAGCAATATTCCAGCTACGTGGCGGAGGTATGTAAGTACTCTCGAGTGAGTGAGTTGATATTTAACGTCACATCGACAATGTCTCAGCCGTATCGTGACGAAAACAATTTATAAAATGAAAATATGAGACAATCTTGAAGAGTAAAACCTGTCGACGATGGACAGTAAAAATACTAGAGTATCACAGAGATGAATACAAAAAAGCATGTAAAACTAACACATTTTAATTAAAGAAGACAATACAATATAAATCGCCAACAACTGAAGGTACACCACCATACAAGGAACTATGGGTAAGTACACATGTCTTGACAGGGGAATCCCGTGAACAACAGTATGAGCATCGATCTACGTAACTGGGATACGATGACATGTGTCAGTCAAGTCAGCGAGCCTGATCACCCGATCCCGTTAGTCGCCTCTTACGACAAGCATGGGCTGCTGAAGGCCACTTCTAGCCCGGATCTTTAGGACACAGCAACAACTATACTATCACAGAATTCTGTGTTGTACACACATTAGGCCATCAATTATGTATATGAGTAAATCTATGAGTGTCGTACTGTGGCGTTAATCAATAATCTACCTGTTAACATCGGAAACTAAGTAGCAATTACAAGCGTCGTAAGTAATTGATCGCTCTTTGTTAAGCTCAAGAATCATATTGGAGAATTCATTTGCTGTCAAATTGACGACGATTCCAATTATCGTGAGGAAAGATGGTGGAAACAATTTATCACATAGGATTATTCCCTGGTCAATAAGATAAGGGTGGAAAACTCCACGAACACACGAACTGACCAAACACATCTGTTTGCCTTTGTCTCCCAGCCATCATTAGGCGCCGGTCCTCCATTACTTCATACGAAGCACCGGTAATATTGATGTGTAATGCTTAGCAGTAAATTCATTCTTGAGGCAAGTTTCAAACATACGTTTTAAAGGAAACTAAGGACATAAAGCCTAACAATTTTGTAAATGTGTAAATTTTCAAGAATCTTACATGATCTACAATAAATGCATGGTGAGGCTTATATATGAAACGCACAACTGCAAGGATGTTTTGTTTTCATAAAGGAACTCCAAACTTGCTCTTAAGGGGTTCACATGGCTGATATCACGCTTATGTTATGTTATTTTGTGTCTCTGAAATGCTGTGGCTCAATATGTATTTTCTTTATTGTTGAAAATCACTTTCTTTCTTCCCTCAGTACATTAGCTAGGGGTTGATTGCCCACATGTGTACACTGTGTGGAGTCCATTTCTGGTGTCCTCCGCCGTGATGGTTCTGAAATCTTGCTAAAAGGGGCATAGAACTAAATTCGCCCACTCACTCACCAAGGACTTGGTAATGGTATGCAAGTATGTCCAGTCACTTTTCGTATGCATCTAAGTTTTTGTGACAGGTTTCTGCAAGCCCAAATGTTAATGATCAGTCCTCCAGATCAACAAAACAACTCAAGGATCGATAAGAAAAAATGGATATCGTTCTTTAAAGCCAGGTCAACTCATCTTGATGTTCGGCGACTTGGTTGTACCGCCGTTAACAAATGTACACACAACATGACGTACAAAGCATAGAAATAAGGGAAACCACCAATGTTCACATGTAATGTTTTCAGATCAGTCCAGTCCAATTGTTTTGCAGTAGCTTGACTACATGTACCTGCAGCAGGAGAACACCACCTGATTCCTGACATTTTAACCAAAGTGCACGTCCGAGACATGATCGGAATTCGTTTCAAAGGGCACCAGCAAAGTTACCCGAATTGAGTGAGTGAGTTTGGTGTTACGCCGCACTCAGCAATATTCCAGCTATATGGCGGCGGTCTGTAAATAATCGAGTCTGGACCAGACAATCCAGTGATCAACAGAATGAGCATCGATCTGCGCAACTGGGAACGGATGACATGTGTCAGCCATGTCAGCGAGCCTGACCACCCGATCCCGTTAGTCGCCTCTTACGACAAGCATTGGTCACTGAAGATCAATTCAAACCCGGACCTTCACGGGTCTTACCGAATTGAGCCAGACGATGCAAGGTGAGTGACAAGACTCCATGGAACCGTCATGGGGAGAGTGACACGAACCATGCCACACACTAAACACAGATTTATCACCAGTGGTTGGGCGTCATCAACTATTCATCAAAACGTTTCAATCTTTCAGGTTTTGCTAAATAAGCTTGAGGACCTTCGTGGGGTGCGCATTAAAGTTATATATAGCCAACATATTCTGATGTCACATTTCACCTTGTTATCCTATTATTCCTATATCTCAATCCTTACTTGATATCTCTTTATGTTTCTGTACCTTATCTGAAAGAATACGGGGCGGTGGGGTAGTCTAGTGGTTAAAGCGTTGGCTCGTCACGCCAAAGACCCGGGTTCGAATCCTCACATGGGTACAATAAGTGAAGCCCATTTCTGGTGTCCCCCGCCATGATATTGCTGGAATATTGCTAAAAGCGGCGTAAAACCAAACTCAGTCTGTCAGTCAGTCTGAAAGAATACCCCCCAGAGTTTTGAAATGTTACATCAACACAATGGAGTTATTGTGACACTGAATGCTTTCATTGGTGACCTTGTGAACAAAGGATTGGATGTGAACAAGGGTTGTTCGAATTGCAAGAAATCTACAAGAAAAGCATAACATATTCGAGAACAATGACCCGCAAAGGTGAGATAGCCAGACACTTATCGCGTCTACTCAATGAAGTTTAAGAAGTTGAGAAGTGAAATTAACACATGGATATGTGATGATCTTTCTCCAGACGTTTCATTGTTCTGGGGGCCATGGGGTAGTCCTAATGGTTAAAGCGTTGGCTCGTCACGCCGAAGACCCGGGTTCGAATCCCCACATGGGCACAATGTGTGAAGCCCATTTCTGGTGTCCACCGCCGTGATGTTGCTGGAATATTGCTAAAAGCGGCGTAAACCTAAACTCAGTCAGTCAGTCATTGTTCTGGAACAGGTTCGACATGCTACGACTAGGGTAAATTGACCGATTAGTATTGGACAAAATTACTGTCAACACAAATGTATTGTTTATTCATTATACTTATTCACTGCACAATTTCCAGACAAGTTGTAAGGTTTTAGTTGGTGTACATGCGAACAGTTCGCGAAAACACACCTTACTTCAACCTGTTTCGCGGAAAGCTTCTCGAGCATGCGTTTTCGCCACGTGCAGGGTTCGCTGTGAAATTATACGTTGATTAGGCAGCACGCCAAATGATTGTTAGTTTGTGGTACCCCTTGGGTGTTTACGTTTAGTGAAATAGAAAGTTAAGACAGGAATGGGAATGTAAGACATTGTAAATGTAATGAAAGGTAGCTTAAAACAAATATTAGATTGATTTACTGGTTTCGTTATATTTCATAACTAATACAGTTTCTGCTGATCATGTATGTGCACTATGGCGACGTTTTCAGTAAAACCGTCATATAATAGACCGCTACGCCTGGTCGCTGACCACCAGTAACGATCACATGTCAAGACTGATGAATTCGAGCCACCTCCAGCACAGGGTTCAGTCAGCAGCCATACATGACAACAGATTTGTATATGCGAGAACAGTTCGGCATCCGTGCCTTGCGGCCAACTCTGAAGACGGAACATCGACGCCAACATCTCCCGTGGGACAGGTAACACGTGGGAAGGAGAGCACGTGAGCTCTGTTCACTGATGAGACATGTTAAATTCTTTACCGATCTGACGGTAGGACACGTGTCCATGTGTTCTTGAAAGGGGTTGTTTTGAAGGTTGGGGCGTTATGATCTGGGATAGGATACTAGCTGCAGCAGTGACGGCAGTGAGTGTGAGCGGCTCAACACGACAACGTTCGTAATCAGAACAATTTGGTAATGTGTGGCCGCCAGATCTCCTGATTCGTCACCTATTCTTAACGTTTGGGATGAAATGTAGCGAAGTGTACAGCGTCATCAATTCCTCAAACAACGCTGTCGGTAACCCTCAATCTCCTTCCTCGGATATGTACTGATCTTTCCCAGGACGTTTCTTTGCCTCAATGAGCTGAAAGTTGCAGAGCTCACTCCAATGCAAAAGGTGGGAACACTGACCATGTAAACTTGGCTATGAACCCCTTCTTGTGTTGTGAACCCCTTCTTGTGTTGTGAACCCCTTCTTGTGTTGTGGCTCATTCGCCTTGGCCAGGTTCTTGTGACCTGTTGATCGTTACCATACTTTGAAATATTTGACTTTACATTTAACAACATTTCAGTCAAAGCTTACCTGTGAGTCT